AATCTTGTAGTTACATATGTAGTTGGAATGATTTATTTAAAAATTGGTCTTCAAAAATTCTGTCTTGTGAATAATATTGGCCTGTGTTTTGCCATGCATAAAGGATTAGAGTTGTCCAACTACGCATGGGCAACAGTTTGAAGAATTAGTAACAAAGATCTTGTAAACACAAGATATCGTTCTCAGCGATTCACGCATAACAAATATAAACGTTGATTTGGTAGCAGAAAGTAATCATTTTTAGGAGAGGGCATCCTAGTTGTTGTCATAGATCTAAGATAAGGTGTTCACGTTAGGCCAAAGTTCATTACCAAGTACGTTATTGTTCCTTAATTGTTTCTTAATTGTAAATTGACACTTCTAATTGTTGCGCGTAAAGTAAATTCAAAGCAGTCAAATTTCGAAAGTTTTCATTTTTGCAAGAGGGCGTCGTACACTGCGTTATTACAAAATTTGCACGCGGATATCGCCGAGAACACTATCTTGTGTTTATAAGTTCTTTGATTAGTAATAATAATTTATAATAATAATAATAATTTATTATTATCATTATTATTTATTTAAATTTATTTATTTATATTTGCTGTATGTATTTATTTATTTTACAGTGTGGTAAACCAAATGAAGCAGGACAGTGTCCAGAATGTAATTTGCCAATTGGAGGGAAAAAGGGAGGAAATAATCAATTACAAGAAGGAAACAAACTTGCAAACATGTATTCGAAATTTTGTTTATTCATTATTGCTCAACATACACAACATAAATATTCACACATTTTGAAATCTAAATTTAGAACAAGAATACTTTCATTTGTTGTAGGCTACCAGTTTGATGTTCCATAGGACTTAAAATTTATTAAATGATGGATTAAAATTATTTCTATATTCTAATAAATGTAGAGAAAAGATAATTTTTCTTCTTAATTTTCTTTGTAAATTAAAAATTGTATTTAACGATCATAATATTAAACATGCTGTCAAAGTACAAGTAATATATAACAAATAAATTTGGTTGTTATAAGTGTCAAAGTATTGCCCCATGCAAAATACTGAAGAAATCGTAAAGATAATTTTTGAAATTAAGTTCCTCATTTATTTATTTTTTATTTATTTTTTATTTTCAATCTTTCGACAAAAACAGAAAAGTTGGACAGGGGTGCCGAGGAAAAGCAAAAGTTAGAAAAACTGTCATCAAAAGATGTGCTTAACCAAAACTCATTTAATTCCTCATGAAAGAATAAAAAATTTATAAATAAAGGTATTATTTAATTTTTTTAATGTGTAGGGTTTCTATTTTTTTAAAATTTTACACAGGGTTGACACAACATCCACAGGTCATGTACTCGGAAACCCACAGTGGCAACATGGCAACCAGATAGTGTGTGAAAGAACAATGAATTGCATGGAAACGGCCATCGTCCGCTTCTTGTTGCACGCTAGCATGCTACTAGGAACAGAATGCCAACATGGGCCACAGGTTAGAAATTGTCTCTTATACACATCTAGAATATAAATATACATATATATATATATATATATATATATATATACATACACATAATATATACATATATATACATATTTCTATATATATATATATATATAATAATCTACAAATTTGAGACAATTTAGTAAATACTAAAATATTGTGTAAAAAATTATTAAATAATTAATGATAATATAAAATAAGATAAATAAGAAAAAACGTTTAAATTGCTGGACAGCATTAAATATTTATATAGTTGTCTAACAATTGTTGAAAATGTGGCTTAAAACTGACACACAATTTTTACATACAGTCCTAGCCAGAGTTAGGGTATTGGCTTCGCTCTCTTCCCCAGCCCCACTGAAAATTTGCCAAGCAACAAAAATGACACATATCACTATATTTTGTCAGCATTCGTCCACTCTATCGCCAGAATCCCCACTCAGACCTTCATGCCCACCTTCAGCAAAAACCTCCTACCATTTCCCAAATCTTTAATCTCATTAAAATATGCCTTTTTAGTTCCTATGCATGTAATGCAATAGGAACTATTGTAATCACTCTTGCTATTTCCTATGTTTTTTATTGTGTGTAGTGTGTATGTGTGTGTAGACATTTATGCAAATGCGCATGCGTCAAAGAAAAGTTTTCCGACATTTTGTTTTACATCGCGATGCGAAGATCGATGTGAAGTTTCTGCAGAGTTCAGTCAGGACCGGAAAGTCGGCATGGATGAAACTATTATATTTTTACGGCAAAAAAACCATCTGCTGTAGGCATAGGTATTTTGAAGAAGGCCTAAAATAAAACTAAAATGTTTGAATACTTGCTGAAATACATTGTTTCTTCATTTAGATCTCCATTTTTCACTTAGTCCAAGAGACGTTTTTTTCTGTTGTATACGTATGAGTAGTCATATGAAGGTACTATATCCCTGACAGTTGGCTGTGCAGCAATGTACCCTTTGAATGCAAACTGAAAACAGGTGAAAATATAAAGGCAGCCGACTGTCGGGTACATAACGACTATCTAGCTTTCCACAAAAACATGAGGGCCGAAGCTAGGCCTAGTTCAGTATTACTGAGATGCAAGGGTAGGCCTAGTTAGATCGTTTAATCAATGATATCGTGTTATCGTCTAATACAATTAAATAATGTGTGTAATATTTAAGAATGCACCACGTGGGTCGCTTGTTTTGTTATGCGGTTGCAGTGTAGTATACGTAGCAGAGTGACGACAGCAAGCTAAGCTTAGCCCAGGGCATAGATCGTGTACGTTCTTGATAATCGTAATGAAAACTTCGGGTGATAGACGATTGGGCCCAACTGGTGTGGACGATCAGACCCAAGATATTTTGAAATAAATTGTAGTCCTAATAGCAGGCCACTGCCAGCACCCCCACTTCCGATATCGTTCCAAACTACGTACTGTAAAATGAAAATACTGTATACATAGCTAGGCCCTATGCCTACGATATTTTTTCAAAGAAATTTGCTAAAAATGTTACTGTAATTTGCCTGTCGAATTACATTACCAATGTAGTCTAAAATCACTAGTCTATTTCGTGAATACTTACCTGGATAACCGACTAATTGCCATTGTTCCCAAAACGGAACACCCCTTCGAAAAAAAATGGAACAGACCGACCCAAGGCGCCACGTGCGAACCGTCTCCCTAACAAACATCCTCATTCCCTTTTCGACGTTGTTCGAAGTTGGATACACCCAGCCTTTGAAATTTCTAGCAGTCTTTTCAAGCTATTCTG